CACTTCTTTTCTTCTGTCAAACTAACCTACAACTCCTGCTCTTCACCTCTATGTTTCCTGTCAAGGTGCACTGCCCACCTCACCCTCCTCCCAACCACTGGCTCTGCCCCCGCAACCTTTTCCTTTTCTTTCTTTCAACATCTATTATGACTTTAAATGCCTGCAGTTCTTTTTTTTTTTTTAAATGATCAGGGCTGAGGGCATGACCCCCAGCGCTCTGCAGTGATCTTGCCATACTCACATGATGTATAGTACACAAATAGGGGTATTAGTAAGAAGTGAGGGGAATGATGTCCCTAAACTACAATGGACACTTTTGTTAGGAGAAAAGAGCTGCACCCAGGGAAGAAGAGTCAAGGTTATATGACAAAAACAGTAGCATAAACACAATATCCACAACATAGGGGGAGTGTTCTGTAGGGTATGACTTACAGAACAATCCATGGCATTTTAGTGGTACTCAGGATCATCATCCCAGTCCACAAAAACCCTATTTACTTTTTAGTAAATACGAACACATGCAATTGCACTGTTTAGCACTAAAAAATGAGCTGCAAAACCTTAGTAAATATCCTCCTCTGAGTGCTTTCTACTTAACATGTTGAATCCTGTTTGTTTAATCTGAACACCAACACAAATGTGTGTGGTTTTCGATGGAAATACTGAGATGTGTGTACTGATTACACAACTGAGATACAACATGTGCAGTAAATTAGAATGAACAGACGAATAAGCACATTTTCCAAAAGATAAAACCTTAAAGTATTAAGGCTTTAATATGCTAATCACTTTTCTGTAATATCTGCAAACTGGCTAAAACCAGTAGCAACCACTGACATCACAGTAGAAATTCAAGCAACAATCATCCCAGTCTTTAACTGGCATTGTAATTAAACAGGACAAACATTTCGGAAGTCAACCAATATATGAAAAGAAGTACATGCACTGGTGCATAAAAATAATTACAGTTTTTTGCTATTGGGTTTTTCCAACTTGTGTTTACACTGAATGAACTATTCAAACCCAAAGCTCCATGTACTTTTATAGATGTACTTTCAACATGATGGAACTACTCAAGATTATTACTACTTTCTTATACACCCTATTATACATATTTCCCCAGAACTCAGTCTGACTAATGGAGCATCTTTGCAAACTTTCTGGACTTGGATGTAATATATATAATATATTGTGGTTTGAACAGTGTTTGGTTGCACAGCGTGAGTTTGCAGTGACTGACTCCCAGTGATGTTTAATAGGTAAATTCAGTTTTGTCATCAGTCTGTACTGCCGTCAGTAATGGAACTACAGGAAGTTCAGGATGGATAAGCATCAGTGTATTCTTTGCAGGGAGCCAAACTGTTTGAGCTAACGTTGTAGTTGTTGTTATTGTTGTTGTTGTTTTAGCTCCAGTGCTTTGACAGTGATATATAGTGTGAAGGTTCAGAATCTGTTGTAGCGCAGAGTTGACAGGATTGTTTTAGGACTCCTTTCGCTCTCTCTCTCTAACTCTGCCTCTCTTCTTGGTTTCCACATGTATCTCTCTCTCTCTCTCTCTCTCTCTCTCTCTGTCTTTCTGCTTTGTCTCTCTGTCTTTCTCTCTTTTTCCAAGCTGATTTGGAGTCTTGCATAGTCAATTATGTAGGGAGTGAAAGATGGAGTGGGGGCTCCAGCTTCTATATTCTGGTGTGATATTAATATTGCATGAGCACTATTCTGTAGCGAATATCTAAGAGACTGCCTATTAAGGCAGCAGCAGTAGAAGACTGTGACAGACACACACACACACACACACACACACACACACGCACACTGTACATACATAAGCAGACAGCCGGAGAGCAGGGGTGAATCAGTCAGGATCAAGCACAGGTTGTTATAATTAGTGTTTGCCAGATTTATTTTGGTGAGATAATAAGAGTGACTCATTTTCCTCTTTAATATGTCAAGATTGTTTATCTTGACATGGCTCATACCACACTGTACAGTGAATGTGTTTAATGTTGGCAAGAACTGATTGATGTTCCACTGTAATTGCGCTAAGAATGGAATATTTTAACTCACCAACTGAATAAATCAACAAACAGAGACAAAAACAAATGTCTGCTAAAAAAAAAAATCATCCAGATAATTGTAATATTGCAAAGCAGGAGTGAACTAATGGCAGGCTATTTATTTCCTGCTACTGAGTGGATCTCAGCGATCCATACAGTAAGTGTCAACAGTGACAGACATTGCAGAAGATCCCCAGCAATGACTGAGCGGTCCAGCATGGACAAGATGCTTTTTGGGTGGTGGTGACAGCAGGTGGTCTGTCATAGACGTCTAATTTCATGCCACAACAGATTGTCAAGAACATCCCATATTAAGGTGTCATACATAACCCACACTACAACAGTATAAAAACATTTAAAAGTCTGTTATATAGGGTTTTCTTTGGTAAACTTCAGCTAATCATTGTAGCAGGGTTAGGTGAAAAGGCTGAAATCAGAGTTAGTATAGGATTTTGGTCTACACTGCAGTAATGTGGACATACAGTATGTATTCAAATAATTAATAACAGCTCAACTTTTATGCCTTACATCAGATAAAATTCTTACCATATGATTCTGTATATACTTTATATATACAGAAACTAAAACTATATACTCAGAAACTAAAAATTATTTTAGCTGTTGACTAATAAGTTAATAGTTTTTGTAAAATAATGGTGACATCACACCCAAAGTGATGTCTTTAGATTACTTGTTTTGCTCGACCAACAGTCCAAACCAAAAGATACGCAGGTCACTATCATAGCCTTATGTCTGAGAAGACAAGACAAGTGAAGGGCATTTTTGCTTGAGAAATGACTTGCATAAATAAATAAATCATAAATATACATAAAGAATTGTTCTGCCATTGAGAATTGCAATTTTTAGAACACTAAAACTGAATGAAATCCATACATTGATAATGTACTGTAAGATGGGAAAATGCATGG